AAGTTATGAAGTGTCCTTTTCACATCTTCAGTGATTAAACCCACATTTGATAATTTTTGTTCTGAGTGCATAAATAGTGGAAATAGTTTAAATATTTGACATTCTCAAAAAAGGATCAGGGAATGGGCATAGTAAAATTATTTAATGCGAATGCTAATACTTTCTCATTCCGCCAGACTGTGAAGTGCCCTCCAGGGCAGCAAATGTGTGTTATTTACTACTGAATCGTCAGTATCTGGCCTAGTGTTTCCTATTTCAAACTGTATTTACTATTTCAGACAAACCTGGTGAAACTTCTTTTGATGCATCAGGCAAACCCAAACCTTGTGAACTGTAATGAAGAGAAGCCATCAGGTAGGTCATGAGCATCCTGGGACCACTGAGCAGTTACTGTTTATTTTCTTCCTGTAATTTTGAAGTTGTCCATCCATCATTAGCACAGGTATGGAATGAGAGTTGGACTCTCCTGCGAAACTATGTAATAACCACCCAGTTCAGGCACAGTTCATAAACTCACATGCACGGCTCCATCATAAGAGGCTACTAGAGAGCAGTTTAATCTATACCATACTGTTGTACTTTGTGTGTTTTGCTTTTAATGTTTTAAACTTTCAGGGTAGCGATTCATTCAATATAACCTAATTTAAAATATATTTTTGCTGTAATTTAACTAGTTTCTCATCCTACCAAATACATACTTATACATTAGGGTATTTTTTTCTACACAGATATTTAGACTACAAGAAATATATAGATACTAACATTCACATGCTAATTAAAAACTTTGAAAATCTTGACTTAATTATTTTTAATAAATAGCTTTTTGAATATTCCTAAAATTCTTTTAATCACTGCTCTTTTATATGTCCATATACTTATTTTAAAAATGGATGCCATATTAATTTTGTAGCATTTAAAATTTGACACAAAATCACTAATCATAGTTATTTTTACAATATTAAAAATAAAAGAATTTTAAGTAAAAAAGAAAAATGTAGCATAAGTAACATAATAATAGAAAAAATTTTGAAGGTAATAAATGATCTGAATAACTTAATAAGTCTATTTATTTTTCTTGTAGCTATACCTCTACTAACCTAAAAACACTTTACACTTGATCTTTCTCGCCTGAGGTCCTTCTGTAAATATGATTGTCTGATAAACTTCCAGTTTAAGCTGGAATAAGAGATTTTCTCTATTTCTTATTTTATTGGAATTAAGTATCATTGTTTAAGATTGATTAATATTTCTAATTTATTCTCTTCTAAAGTAAACTGAAGATTTAACAAATAGCTGTAAAATAGCTTGATATATATATATGCATATATTTGATCTGAGCCAAATAATGATAAAATCCTGGAAGAAATATCTTCACGTGGCAGCTAAATTACTTTAACCAGCCCAGAAAGCTACGTAACTCTAATTTATAAACATAGGTGGCCTTGCAGTCTAGTCGTGATGATTGAAAAGGACTGGCTGCCTCCATTAGGTTCTTACTTGATATTAATGCAAATTTTTCTTCATGATCTGTCAAATTTCAGTTTCAGTTGTTGTTAGGTATAAATGTGATGGATGCATATCTATGTTCCCACACAAATATGTTCAGAAGTCACTGTTTACATGTAATTTGTAAGGAAATATATTTATTTATATTTCCAATTTAAAAAAAGA